ATAACATTAATATTTGCCAAAATAGATGAATTACCCGGTGCAATGTAGCCATACGAGCCGGCAACTGACGACACACTCCCATCACCCAAGAACTTAGCCAGCCCAAAATCAGCCACGTGAGCCTCATAATCCGAGTCGAGCAGAATATTGTTCGACTTCACATCTCTGTGAATGATCTGAGGCGAACAGTCGTGATGCAAGTAACACAGCCCTTTAGCAGCCTCCACCGCAACCTTAAACCTTGATTCCCATATCAAATGTGCCCCTTTCGGCCCGTGCAGCACTTCCCCCAAGCTCCCGTTAGGCATGTACTCGTAAAGCAACAGATTCGTTTCGTTATTACACAAGTAACCTAAGAGGCGTACTATGTTCCGGTGCCTTATACTCCCCAAAGTCTGTATTTCGGCCATAAAACCGCGATCATTATTACTATTACTATTATTATTATTACAGCTGTTAGCTCGCCTGGCGAGGCGTTTGATAGCGATATTATCAGCTCCGTTCGGCATGGAGCCCATGTAGACAATCCCGGCCCCGCCTTTCCCGATTATATTCTCTTCTTTCAAGCAACCGATCACATCCACAGCCGTGAAATCCACTTTTTGGAAAGCCGTGAGCTTCCATTTTCTCGATTTTTCGAAATGCCACCTTCTGAAAAAAGTCCAACCACATAGAATAACTAATAAAACGATAACCGAGACTGTAACTATGACAGCTGGACTCGATGCTCGTCTCGAGTTGCGTGTATTAGATCGACAAAACGAGCTGTGACGCAAGCAGAGATTAGTGTTGCCAGCGAAAAAACGATCGTCCAAAGCACCTAGAAGCCCCGTCGCTGGGACCCGACCCGAAAAATCATTGTAAGACAAATCCAATACAGTTAGGCTCTTCATGAGCCCAATTTCCTCAGGAATTTCGCCTCGGAGATTGTTGCTCGACAAGTTGAGAACGTTAAGGTTCTGCAGCTGAAGAATAATATTCCCCGAGATTCCACCAATCAAGTTATTCCGGCTGAGGTCAACGAACGAGAGAAGAGAACCGTTCACAAAATCATCCGCCGGTGGTATCCGGCCGGTGAGACGGTTACCGCTTAAGTTGAGCTTTGTGAGCTTCTTGATCCCGAAAATCTCGGCCGGAATCTCCCCGGAGAATCTGTTGTTGTCGAGCGATAATATCTCCAAATTCATCAAATTACCGAACGCCCGAGGTATGCCACCTGAAATCGAGTTGCCAGAGAGCGTGAGTCGTCCCAAGC